AGGCAAGGGAGCTGACCATGGACGGTGCAGCAACAAAAAAGGCTGTAACCCAGGACTGAACGCGTGCAGTTTGCAGCCTTTGTGCAGCCAGAAGACTCAACGCCTTGAAGCAGCGTCCCAATCCTGAAGCCAACGGCCGTAGCTCTACTTCCCGACGTGCAGATAGAGATCAATATTCCAAGATTCGCTTGGTTTATGAGCTTGCATCCCCGCGTGCCCAAGAACAGAGTTTGTGGGTGAAGTAGGTGAAGTCGACACACCCTGCCCTCATAAAGTTGGTGGTGGCTCCATCTAAATTTGTTACTGAAGCACCAGGCATTTGCATATCCATTACGTATGAGCCATCTGAGTTCCAATCAGTGCAGCTTGACCACAATGGACTGCTGCTTTCAGCAAATGTTTGGCTTTGGAAGGAGTTTGGAGACGATTGTCCTCCAGTAGACCTGGTGGGATACGTGCTGACCTTGAGAGGTTCCTGGGCAGGTAAGACTGAGGTTGCTATTCATTCGTCTTTGACACAATGTGCATCTCTTTGCAGCAGCGACCCGACCTGCCAGCGATTCAGTATCCATCTGGAGTCCGGGGTGTGCAGCCATTACCGCAAGAAAGCTGTCACGCCGATGCGATCGGACTCCTGCACCTATGCGTTCACCAAGGCCAGGTTTGAAGAGAATTGTGCATTTTTTCAAGCGCGAGCACTGCAGGTGAAGCAGCAGTCTCATGAAGAGGCAGGGCTTGCGGAGAAGAGTTTCAATCCCATGTATTCACATCAATGACACGGCTTTCTAAAGGGTATGTTGAATTCCAGTCCATGGCTTTCGGAAAGGCAGTTGTACCCTGCAGCAGCATTGAACGGAAGCAAGAGTTCTATCCTTACAAGGCAATGCGAAGACCGCTAGCTAGTTGACATGAAGGACATGAAGCAGTCAAGCTGGCCAGGCTCCTCCACCAACGCTTGATTTTTCTATCAGTTTCTTGCTCGCTCGCTCTCTCTCTCTCTCTATCTCTCTCCTTATTTCCTCTATCTTTTTGATTATATGATGCAACATGTGCTTTCCGAAGTGTGTGTGTGTGTGTTGCATCATGGCAACCACCTGGTCCCACAGGCCTGGAGTTAAATTGTGTTGCCTGCAGAGGCTCCTCACAAAGTGGCAGAGCAGGACCATGCCTGCTCCCTGCAACACATTAGGCTGTTGGCAATCAGTCATGCATGTTGTGAGGTGGAGCCTAGCGGCAAACCACCAACCAAGACGGTAGTCAGTGTCAGCACCCCGGAGGTTGTTGCTTTGTCATGCTGGTAATGAGGCGTACCGGTACGCGTACCTGTGCATCGCCTTCAGGTGGCCAGAGAAAAGGTAGAGCCTGCGAACGATGTGCAGGACGCTTGCAGAGATTTATGTGTTGGACTGCCAAGCATTCGTGGCTGATTTCATCGTCTCCAATTCGGTCCTTCCTGAGATACCGGCCAACGACTTTGGTGAATGATAATTCATTTGAGTGGGGTAAACATGTTGTGGTCGCAGCCTTTGCCGGGATTCAGCTCTTCATGGTGGCGGCCTTGGCGTGCAGGATGGCATTGACACGATACCCGAGCCTGCGTTGGGAACCGTGCCCACTGAGTGTTCAAGTAGGGCGGTGACGCTGTGTGATGTTTGGTTAGCATGGATCGCTGGGTTTGGCAGGCCCAGGTACAAGACAAGAAGGTTGCAAAGAATCAGGCCTCGCCTAATCAAGACGTGCGAAAGTACCATTCACCAGCCAATCATGGCAGGAAGCGGCTTACCGGGAAGTCCAGGGTCCAAAAATTCTCCCAGATCCATCAGATCTTTGGATGCACCAAAAAGCGGGCTGAGGCAGCAATCGCACAATCCATGCTGATAGCTACTTCTGGTGCTATTGTTGCTATTGTGGAAAAGGCAACTGCAACGCAGCCATGTCATTTCCCATGCCTTGAGCGAAGCAGAGGAAAACACAAAGTACCGGGGCAAGAAGCCTGGTCCGGAGGTTTTGATCCTCAAGGAGAGCACGGCTCGGTTTCTTCCGATCCCCTCATCGGAAGATGAGATAGATGCTTTTTGATATTTTGAACGGATGTTTTCTGTTCAGATTTCAGAGAACAGGATGCCATTCAATTCACGATGTCCATGCAGGCTCGCTCTGGCCATGCTCTGCCACACTGTCAACATAAAACACCCCCCTTTTTGCGTTTCAGGCACACGGCTTGAGCGCTGCCCTGCGTTCCCTTGGCCAGCCGGCCAGGTGAGAGTTCGCCAGCTCCTCGCAGAAGCTATACATGTGGTTGAAGGGCGGTGGTTGTCTGATCGGCCTTGCGAGCTGAGGCCTGCCGGTGACGGCTCTTGAGCATGCGCACGGATTGCCCAAGTGCGAGGGTGCAACAAGTGAATTGGGCTTCCTGGCTTGAAAGCAGTGAGCAGGCCAAAATGCAGACTTCCTCCCGTGCTTCGAAAGCACTCCCGCAACACCACTCGGGACACTGCACAAGTTTACACCAGGCGCAACATACTACAAACTGCACAGCCTCTTTTATGCTTTCTTGGAGGCTTGCGAAATCTCTTGCAGGTGGGTGTTTCATGGAGCTCATGCACCCGCAGCGTCAGCCTTCAAACACAGAGTTGCAATGATGAGGAAAAGTCTGGTCGTTTCAAAGTGTGAGAGCCACAAGCACCTTTGGAATGGCCTGACATAATTCCTAGGACCCCTACATATGTGATGCATTCAGCAAAGCTTGTACTCGAAATTGCTGCATTCAATTGCACTGAAGTCAGCAGCCTTATGAGCATTTACATACGTGCAGTCTATACACACTAGAGCACCCATGGCTTTGTCTGAGACAGCAGCCGCAGCCTCAGCATTGCCTAACATGAAAATGTTCGGCCAAGCCTTTGCAACCACTCATGCTGCTACAGCTCTTCGGGATAACGCAGTGTTTCAGTCCCCTTTGCTAGTCTCTTTCCCTGAGTGCTGGGTGCCGGGTTGCATGGGCTAGATTGTGGCTTGGGCTCGAACTGGTGTGGTGAAGATGGCATCTCCGCCTATTGCGCGTATTGCCATGGAATGTCGTAGAACCAACATGACAGCTTGTCGCACTAGTGCCACTTTGGAATTGGCAGACTCTGTGTGAATTGGCAACTAGGTGTATCTTCCCAAAGTACCTGTTTGCTCTCACGGCATCATGTACAAAGTCATTTCCTGGAGAGAGAATCACATAACCATTCTTTTGACAGCCCTTTAGTTTAGAAGGTATTGGAATTATGAGCTGGAACAGCTTTTTTCAGAAATTGTGCAGCCTCATCCCTGAGCAATACACTTGCTTTTCCAAGAGAGGGTAAGTTTTGCGAATGTTGTATGGGGGAATGTGGAGGCAGCTACGGTAGAGCAAGCCCAATGTCACCATGTCCCTATCGTCAATGCAAGCTTGTGGACCAGGTTCCAGCGGAGCCGTCGCAGGCGTCTATGCTTTTGACTCCGCGTGGCTAATGAACTGTGCTCGGGAATCTCTACAGGACGTGAAGATGACACAGACAGGCAGTCACCACCCCAGCGATCCTCAGCGATCCTGCGCTTGCAACTGACTTTCGGCCTTCTTTGAGGTGTAGCCTCGGTGGCCGCCGTTGCTTGTGGAATTCTGTTAGCCGGGCGACTTTCCTTAGAAAGCCTCATGTGCCTGGGCTTCTTGACTGCAAGCTGCACTTTTCAGTCTGCAAGCTGCAGTCTCGTTTGGGATCTGCAAGCGATGCAGTAACGCTGCAGGCTACATCACAATCTCCGGCAAGACAGCCCTCACTCTGGCAGCCCTGGCGTCGCTGAGCTTTGCAAGTGGCTTACTTTTGTAGGGGTACTTCTGTGCTTCACTTTCAGAAAGCCGTGCTCAGGTGATCTGTGGCCCTTTGCTACTGCAATCCCGCTTCACGAACAAGCTAGGCCCTGCCTCGGCCAGAGTGCTGAAATTTCGTACATGTACACTGGTCGGCTTTATTTATAGGCCAAGTGCTGGTGGACAGAGTCCTGAATGCCCGGTGCAATTGGGAGCTGCAAGCCCAGGCAGCTGTAGACACAGAACATTGTCTACAGTTTCGTTCGTTGACTGAGGTCAGACACGCTCCGAAGTTTCTGCGAGGTGTCGTCATGGCTGCTGGTCGTTTGGTCAACATATGCCTTGCTCCCATCACCACTGGCAGACCAAGTAGTGGCAATCCGTGAGCGGGTCAGCTACTTTTCAAAAAGGTGAGCTCAGATGGTGGGCTCTTCGGACTGACTGCGGCTTTGGGTTTTGGAACCTGCGCAGGCTCGCCAGGGGGTAAATCAGAGTCCGGCAACGCATGCGATACAGTATTCAGTCGATTCAGTTGTAAGCAGGTGGTGTGCTTGCAATGTTGGGCGAACTCCTGCAGCAGCCTCTACGAAACCTTGAAAGGCCTGAAGAGTCCAAGCATCTAGTCCTGCTGTCGCTGAACTGGGCCAGGTTGTTGAGGGAATCTTCAGCCAGCAGAGCACGAATGATGAAAGTCAATCTGGAAGAGGCGCCAGAGTAACAGGCGCTGGATCTTCCATAAATATGTGCCTGCGAGGAAGAGACCTTTGTCACCTCAAACATTGTCATGATCTTGCTCTTCGGCCCCACCGTGCCTCACCCAGCTTGGAAGTCAAGCGTCGTCCAGGCCAACCTGATCACAGTCGGAAAACGGATTGCTTCCTTACAAAATCTTGAGGTCTTGAACACCATCTATGAAAACTGCGGCTCGCCACGATTGTGAGAGCGAGGAAAACATGAAACAGCGATTTCTGAAGAGCCCAACGCCACTGCTCTTCTGAAGTAAGCATCCCAAGGACTTGCTGGAAGCCCTTGCCAGGCAGTGACCTGGCAGTCTTGGCCGGCATGCTGGCCAGTGCCCCAGCTTGTGTGTCCTACTCTTGGACTGAGAGAGCCTCCTGACTTGGGGGGCCATTCCACCCTTGGAGTTGCAGCAGCTGAAGCCTGCCGAAGGATGGCATCCATTACAGAGGATCCAAGGAACCGGAACAACGACCCCCAGCCACTCCCCGGAACTTATGAACACCCGCGTTTAGCAGACTTTGCTGCCCGTAAATCATAACCCAACATTGGACTGGATGGCAATTCTCATCATTCTCATCCCATGCCATCATGCAAGCAATTTGCTCCAGGTCCTGGGTGGAGTGACCATATTGGCTGCAGGTCGCCTTTGCCAAGCCGCTTGACACAAGATTAGATCTGCTTGGAATACCTCGCTCTGAGCTGAGCTGCGAGGCCTGGGAACCCACCCGGCACTTGGGCACCATCCTGCAGGCGCCAGAAATGCGTTCTTTACTGCTTTCAGCTTGAAGGGTCCTTTCTGCAAGGCCCGGATCCTCAACACCTGGGAGAACTGGAGGCATCATCCCGGCCGCTCAGCTCTAGCCCCTTGATCAGATTTGATCCAAGCTGGACCCACATCCTGCAGCGAGCAAAGTGTTTTGCATTTTCTGATTGGAGTTCTACAGTTGCAGAAGTTTCACTTCATCCATCACTTCATCCGTGGAAAGAGAACAAAGATGAACAAAGCGTCAGAATGCACCATGCAATTGCATAATTTGTACAGCTCAGCCTGCATGCATCATTTTCTTGTCACACTGGGCCGACCTCAGGAGTCAACATTTTTCTGCGCTGTCGTGATGGGCGTGTACGAGCTTCACGGCAACTGGGCAGACGCTGGATGTGTTTGGCTAGTTCCTTCAAGATGTGTGTGAATGTCGCCCTGTCCTAGTGCATATGAAAGCTGGAGCGCCATGCGCAGTGGCATGGGAAGAACAGCTATGGATATGCAGCAACCTTTCGTCTCTGCGCAGACGGACTTCGAGAACCGACCCCCGTAACTGCCAGAACTGGAGCCAGTAGCCCTCCAATCTAGTTGAAGCGCAAGTTTTGCGAAGGAGTGTTGAAGGCTCCATTTCATCAAGCACCCGCTGAAATTGCAAGCCTGATGGAGGTGATGCGCTTTTTGCGCTACAAACTGGCTGCCTGTCTGGGATGTCGATAGTCATCGCGAGCGAAGCTTGGCCCTGGCATTGCATCGTTGCTTTTATGGGTAAGGCTTCCCCCTTTTTCAAAGTAACAAGCCGTTGGTGCCTTGTTCTTCACTCGCCTCAAGTTTTGCCGCCAGGAAGTGTTTGCGCATGGCATTAACTTCAACCTCCAGGCCAGAAGCATGGAACATTGCACGCAAGCTCTGCGCATTTCCTGGAGCGCGAATACTGAGATGCTGATCAGTAGTTTTTTTTTTCGCACGACACATGAGCAGGCGGGATTGCATTTTAAGAGCTGGATCGTGTGCAGGTTGATGATTCTCACCCGCTACAGACTTCCGTTCGGCCCGTGATACTGGGATATGTTTGTTTCATGCTTCTTGCAGCTTGGCAAACTTGAGGAGGCAGAGCAGCGGTCTGATCAGGACACAGCCTTGAACATGAGAGCTGCAGGTATGTTTCTATGCGCGCGAGCACCAGACGGTCAACAGTGCAGCATTGTCAGTGATCATTAATAGCCTGCTCTGGGTTCCTGCCTGAGCTTTGCATGCCACATTGCGCTTCTTCATGGCTCAGCTGGGGCTGGCCCGGTAGGTGATCATCGGCAGATGTTGCGTTGCAGTTGGAGCAGGGCAGCGTCTAGGTGGGCTGAATGCAAGCAGCATCACCAGTGGTGAGAACGCAAGCCTTTGTAGGCGCGATCGGCCAGATCGTCAACAGGAGGCCAGTACCTGTACAGACAGTCAGCATGTAAGCGCAAGAGCAAATCGGAAATGGCTTGTTTGCGAAGGGCGCTGGACGCAGCGGAACACTGGACCAGATATCCGACTAGATCGGCTGCAGAATGCTCCGCCCGTCACCCAATGCAGGTGTGTGTGTGTGTGCCCTACTAGGAGCGGGCTATTCTCCCTGCCAACTGCTGAGACTTATCGAATTTCTAATTCAGTCGTCGAGTTTTCTCAAGACTCCGCCGACGTTCTTCACCTTGCCTCTGAGCCAAGAAGTACTTTGTCCTAGGCATGACTGCAGGAGGACAATGGTGCAACCGGCTGCCTTTTTCGGTGAGGCAATCAGCTTATACAGCTTAGCAAAGACTCCCTCAAACGGACAAGCAATCAGGGGAATGAACCATCTCCGCAAGCTCGAGCCACATGGCAAAGTAAACAGGAGTAAAGGAATTCGTAGCGTGTCGCGACGAAATCCTTCCTGGGTCCCGAAGTATCTGTTCTTTTCCATTGCAAAAGACCCTTTGCAGGACCTTTAATCTGCATGTCACTGCTGAGCTGTTGTGATCTCCTGATCCTTTCCTTTTCGGAAAGATCCAGGATCTGGGACAACAGCAGCTTACAGAATTCCATGTGTGCGTAGGCTGCGTAGGGTTCACACTAAGACTTACTAAGATATCAACATGCCGAAATCTTGCGCATGCCACCTGCAGCGCATGTCCGCTGAGGCATGGCTGTTGGGACAGTACGTAGGCTCGACGGAGTTTGTATCGTCTCATGAGCATGCAGAAGCATTGGACACGGGCAGGATACCTCTGCGGCTCAGTCTTGGCAAGCGCTGTGTGCCTCAGCAGTCAGCATGGAAGAACAGCTGAAGCTGCTCAAGTGCAGGCTTCTTTAGATTCTGTTGGAGACCAAGGGTTGGTACAGCCGCTGGAATTGCTGCTGTCAGTTTCTCCGAGGCTTCTCTTGAAATACGAGAAAGACGTCTCAGCTTAATCACGTCCGTGAGGTTGTGGCCTGGTACATTAACCGGCCAACTCCGGCTCCTCTAGCGCGCGCCCCAGCTCTGGATTCCAGCCCTGCCTGCACACGAGGGCCGGCATGCCCAACATATATGGCGCAAGGAAGACCTGGTTCTTGCTTGCCGCATGACTTTCCCCGTAAATGAAAGTGAGCCTTCTTCTTGACTGGAAGGTCCCGAAAAAGGGAAGCTTAGCACCGGGGATCAAGCCACATTCCTGCCTTCAAATGTCTTGCCGAGAGGATCTTCAGCCGTGCTTGTTACCTAAATCAGCTCCTCTCTTTCCTGATGACCTAAGGATGACCCGCGAATTATTTTGAATGTCAAGAGAAATTGTGTCGACAATCGTTCCAGATTCGGATGCTTGTTTGTTTGAGGGTAGGAATCTAAGTACCTTCACTGCTTCATCGCTGCGTTGCTTGATGGCCGGCTGCATCTCTGAATCCGTCGAAAAGTCGCGTTTGGCACTGTGCATTCTTGCCAAAGTTGACTCACAAGCCGAGACACAAACATGAGAGGCAAGACTGTTCAGCTCCTTTGCTGGGGTGCTGGATCTGGAAAGGCAGTTTGAAAGAATGCCGTGCCCAGGCCAAGAGAACAGCCAGCAAAGGGACCTTGAGCTGGGACGAGGCCGAGAAGCGATTTTCTAGATGCACGCTGCAGTCATGCATGACGAAGGTTGAGAAGCATTCTTCGAGAGAAGATGCCTGGATTGTGATTGACGGGCAGCCTGGCTTTAGGTTTCGAAGGTGACATAGGCTAGTCAGACTTGCGCAATTGAGGCGAGTGCTTGATGTCACGGACTTCGCTCCTCGACATCCAGGTGGGTGGTGTGCATGCAGAAGGGGAGACTGCGCAGTCACAAATTCACTGGAGGCGGCCCTATCATCTTCACGCGTGGCGCTTAATTTTTAACAACCTTGTCCACGCGAGAGCTTGCCTGTTCCACGAATGCAGGATAAGCCTCGTAGCTGTAGGTATGCCGGCACCGATGCAAGCGATCAGTTCGCAGCGTTCCATCGACCACGGGTATATGCCCGACTCGCGCAGTTCCAGATTGGAGAGGTTGTTGGTGAAATAGCTGCACCCTCTGCTGAGACCAGTGCATGCAACGCAGGTGGTAGGCACTGAACATCTGCCAAGCAAAGCGACCGAAGAATATCGTGCCTCCGCTAGAATCAAGTGAAAACACGCCGTCATTTGTTAGCTCCAATGTCTCGAGAGCATGTCAATGTGCAAGGGGTGCAAGGATAGCTGATTACAGAGGCACGCTTTGTAGCACTACTTGGACAAATCATATGAGCTGGAGGCTTAGTTGGTTTAAGATAGTCCCCAACAGAATAAGATTCTCCTTTGGGGTGTGGTGTTTACACATAGTCTATTATCTTGCTGGGTTCAACACCACCACACAATGCTAGTCGGGTTAGACCAGGCGGTATTGATGTCACACTTGGGGTCCATCTCTTCCTCATTCAAAGCCCCAACATGCTGGGTGAGACTGCCTCATGTTCTCACCAAAATTGACTATGGCTGTCCGCCCGCCTTTAATCAACATGACATCATTCCGACTGTATTAACTGGTATTAATTCATAGTTCATTGTGGAGCGCTTCTATGTCCTGGAAGCGAGCGTGCTCCCATTCATCTCCTTGGATTTTGTCAGATCCTTTCGTGGATAACAAGAAGCTTTGTGGAATTTTGTGGACTTATCGAACTCTGCTGGCTTAGGTGCTTTGAGGAAGAAGCTGTGGGCAGAGGGCTGGTTTAAACCTCGCCTCTCGTACTTTGCAGCTTGCCATGCATTTGCCATTTTGCGCTAGCCCAATGATGCCTTGTGTATTGCTGCAGTGTGAGGTATGCAAAGCTGCCATCTGCTTCTCGATCTTAACCTTTGTCGTGAGCGTTGTGTGTTGCTTGACTTCTGCGTGGTTTCTGGCTCGCACCATCCTCGCTGGGATGGCCCTTGACTCAGTCGACATTCAAACAGACTCAAAAAGATGGCTTTGGCAGTTTGATTTTCGATGCAAGCTTAGTGACTGTTTGATTTTCCAGGCCTTGGGGGTTGCTTGGCAGCAGATTGCCTTTCTGGCGCATGATGCAGACCATTGGGGAGCCCTGGCTTGCCAGTTGGGTGTTGTCATGGAGTGCCGTTGCACTGTGAAAGCTGCCAAAGCCAAGTTTCAGCGTCTACCTCAGACTTGGGAGATGGAATGCTGCCTGAGGAATCACAACTCCGCGGGCTTCCAGCTCACTTAATCCGCTGTCGCACCATGGCAGCTTGTGGCTTTTCAACTGCCATGTGATGCCGGGGTCATGCACACACCGAAGTCAAAGTGGCGTGCCTAAATGCTCAATGACAAGGTGGTTCCTTGCAAGCGTGCTCTTCGGGATATCCAGAAGCATGTGGAATGAAGTGCCTCAACAGCATGCCACACCCTATTGAAGTGTTGCTTAAGTTAGGAGCGTGCCTGATCTGATGTCAGGTCAGCATACGGTGCTGTTGTGGAGAAACGCCTGATGCCTTAAGGAGCATTCTATGCATCACGCAATCACTTTGCGTCCGCAGGATGCTAGCCACAAACTCCAGTGCATTGGTTCTGGGTTATTTCCCTGATGTTTCGCGTGGTTCAGTCCCTGTCTGGTGCTGTTCTACTCTGAGGAGGATCCCCAGTTCAATTACCTGCCGTTGTGGCTGATCTCCAAGAAGGACTGCGCAGCAGAGGGCAAATTATTGGTCCTGTGTGCATATCAGTAAAGTGATGTCGAAAGGGCGAGGTGGCCTTTGTTTGAAATAATGGGGCGACAATTAGACGTTCTTGCGATTACGATTGTTGCAGTCACTCTAAGTAAGAGGGCCAGCGGAAAACACCCTGACATACTGCTGGGCCCCAAAACCTGACAACTTGATCCTTCTTAGTTGCTGTTAAGTGCATGTCGCAACAGCAGAGTGATGGCTTCTCTCTCGCTGGTTTTCAGACTTTGTGACGAACTGTCGCAGTTTGAATCGTCAAGGTCGAAATTTCGCAAGCGTTCAATGACTGAACCTCAGAAGGTTGGCGCAATCTCACTCGAGGCCCGCAACAGCCCAATTCGATCATATTCGATCCAAATACAGCCGCCAAGAAAATGGACCACATTCCATTCATAGTGTCAAGGGAGTGGCACCGAGCTAGCCCCATGTTTTGTCCTACCGCCTTTGCCTGTGAGTGGTACACTGCTAGACTCAGACCTGCTCATATTTCAACTGGAGTTCCTCCATGTGCGGTGGTCCCAGGAGCTAGATGTGGCAGGAACGCATGTGGGATTCCTCACGAAGACGCTCGTTTCTGAGCCTTGGACTAATGCGTATGCTCCTTAGATTTGTTGGCACGTCGGGGGCAGCAGCATGAAATGAACGGATACCACAACCTGTAGCAGCCAAGTCAGTGGATACTGCTACTGAGAGAGCCAATCCCAGTGGATAGCACAAACAAAGAAGGTGATAGAACAACCCGAGCCACAGGTGTAAGATGTTACAACTGGATCTCACTTGTAAGATGTTACAACTGGATCTCACTTAGACTCCCAACGAGAATTATGTTGAATTATGTTCATGCAACTCGATGTCATTTTCCCATAGAAGGCGTGCATGTTACAGTTCATGCTGTTTTCTCTTGATTTTAGTGTACGGGTATATTGTGATGGACAAGGATTCTTTGCAGTTGTTTTGTGGTTACGGGAATCAAGTTAGATCAGGCCAGCAAGGTTGCACAAGACACAATAGATGCTGCAGGGTGGTTGATCTCACTCTACATTGAGATTATTCCAAGTCTCATGCTTGGAAACAACGATTTGGAACGCTGTAACTTGCCGTGCCTGCAGCTCGTGAAGAGCCGAGAACGCCATAACTTACAGGATCTGCAATGCAATGCCCTGTCATTGAAGCACTTGAAACGCTCCAACTGCTACAATCTCACGTGCCTGCAGCTCTGGAGAAAGTGCAAATGATCTGATTTAGCATTTTTGCAGCCTTCGCAGATTTCCAGATGTTTTAGATTACGCATGTTTCGTCCATGGCTCTAAAGATTTTGTTGCGATTCCCAATATAGAAGCTAATGTTGCAAATCCAAAGGCGCAGCGTAATCTTTATGCAGGCCGTAGTATTGAGCCCACAACATCCAAAACCACACGCAGACTCAAGATATAATGCAACCCGTCTGCACCCAGTTTCAGCTTGCTCAGGTACAGCACTTCACCTTCTTACCAGTCTCTGTAGCGCTTGCCTGAGCTTTCGTCTCTGTCGATTGCAGCCCGACACGTCGCATCCTGGACTGCAAAGGTAATTGGCAGATTCAATTTCTACTTGATATCGATGCTATCCGCCCTGAAGCGAGCAGTTATGGCTACAAGTTCGAGAGAACTTTCCGGAGGTGTGCTTGACGTCTTGGGAATGCTTACGTTGCTTGGCTGCGTGTGGATTTTCAGATGCTTGAGGATGCTTGAGCTGTTCAAGCAATTTAAGTGCCGTAGGATCCCTCGCAGACACCAATTTCAAGCTCGACGTCCTGATAAAGTTGAGTTGCTGTGCAGGGTCACGCCTTCGTCTTTTCATACTGTTTTGTAGTCTTGCAGTGGGTCCTTGACGCTGCAAGGTTTTGGACTTGGTATGTGGCTTGGATGCTGAGAAAGCAAGCATACAGCTTTTTGGGTCTCACATTGGGCATGTATCCCAGGTCGCTCTGGTCAGCAGATTTGACACTGGGGTGGAGCGCACGCTATTCGTGCTGGCCTCTAATTGGACCGTTACTTGGCATGGTATGATCCGTTATGGCATTTGATGCATTGGTTGAAGTCTGTTGAAGTTTGATCTCGCAGCAACTGCAGCAGGTAGGAATTCTTCATATCCAGCTGGTGTTGAGCCACCTGGCCACCGAAACTTTCACGGCTGAGGAGGAACGCAGTGGTTGCAAAATGTTTAGCGAGTAGAGAAATCGAAGAGCCACCCTCACCAGGAGCGAGCTGAGCAGTTCTTTGCTTTCCAGCTCAAGACTTCTCGAAACATTGACTCCAGCTGGCAATCTGGCTCCGTTGCAAGCCCACGTGTGCAGCAAGATTTGGGGATTTCATCTTCAGTGAGCTTGGTGAGCTGGAGTTCCAGTCCCGGCTTATGGCCTTCTGAGGTCTAGGACTCTTGTTGGATTGAATGGCTAGTGTGAAAGTGCTGAGACAGGTGAGGTCTGATACAGGTGTTACTTCTGTACAGGGACCCAGTTCGGAGTCCATGAGCCGAGCCTGTCAGGAGTACAGGTCTTGTGGTGCTTAGCAGCCACCTGTTGAAGGCTTCAGATTTCATTGCCGTGCCTGAGGTATGATCACTGGTTTCATGGAGGCTTGGAGCTTCTCGTCGCAAAGCTGCCTACGCAAAGGATGCCTAGGAGTCGGGTGATGTCGGGTGGAAGCAGTCTTTCTCCAGTACAATCGCAGCATCTCCTTCCCGCAGAGCTGCAGCTGCGGTGGATAAGGTATGTCTTAGACTCACAAAAGCTGTGAAGGTCGTAGGCCGTTGCTGTGATGACTTGGGCTTGGACTTGCATCAGAGCTCCATGCTGGCTTTCAAGTGTAATTCTGCCTCACTGCAGCCAAGGTTTCAAATTGAGCATCACTTGTTCCCTCAACTTCCTCGGCATAACCTGAGCAAGGCGGGAGTCGTAATGCGAGCATTGTTTCCAATGAGCGCTTTGAGGAATTGGAAGCATTGTTCAGGTCAAGCCTATGGTTCAGGACATTTGTTTTCGGCATGGAATTCCATACCGATCAACCAGCTTCTCTGGAGCTCTGCGGGACGTGTCTTGGTATTCAGTGCATGCTGCTTATGCGCATGGTCTACATGGAAAGGCAGAGCTGTTAGGCATTATGGTTTTGAAGGGCAAGGCTTGTCACAGTTGACATCTCAGGTGCTGTCCGACTTCCGCGGCCTCGCCATGGACATTGTCAAACTAAAGATGGGTTAGGACGCTTTTTACCCTACCTTTTCTGCGGAGACAGAGAACGCAGCAGGTTAACTAATCTGCATTGGCAACAGCAGCGTCAGGGTTTTCTTGAGTAGACTGCTGTGAAACTCTGTCTCCAGAGCTCACGGCAGCTGCTTCGCAAGGAAGGAGGAGCAAACGTGGGAGCTTCATGACTTCGGCTCGAAGTCACTGTAGCCGTATAGTAATTCGGCGTAGGAGCCCCTTTTGCAGTGTGCTGACAGGAGGTCAGTAGCACGTCCGACACTATTGGCAAGACTGGTACACACCTTGGATGTTTTGTCTCGCCATGACTGACCTGATGTTCACAGCTTGCCTGCTTGTTAAAGGCAACAGGCAGGTGTTTTTGCTTCTGCAGGGCAATCTGCCCGTTGACTCGGGTAGTGCCCTGTAGGTACGGCTTCAAGAAAAGTTTCTCGGCGCGCCGTGCGCGCCTGGAGTGCTTCCTTGTATCCTACAGCGAGCAGGACATGATACAGCACGCAGCGCTTGCGATGTGTGTTGTACAGGCAGCAAGCACGACATCATTGGCTTGTCAATGATTTGACTCAAGCCGGCTCCCGGCCTGTATTTGAGGACTTTGGTCCCTGAGCTTGTGGATCTTGTCATCATGTAGCTAACTTTGGAATCACCCAACCTAGTGACATGGTGCTTCCCTATAGGGGTGTAACTTGGTGGATGCAAAATCCGCTAGTTCAGCCTTTGCGTTCGGCGCATACTTTGCAACCTCCGGGAGGCTCGAGCACAACAGGCCCCGCAGACTCTGAAGAATGGGCTCGGAACTTTCACATTTTTCATTCTTTGGAGTAAGGGGCCTGTGCAAGCTTTTATGCGAGATCCCATCAAAGACTAACACAGTATCAATGCTCGAAGAAGAAAGCTTGAAAAAAGTTGCGTTTGGTGCCGCAGAGTGAACATAGGATCCGGTGTAGTTGTTGGGCAACGGGTTCAGTGCTGTGGGACTCCGGGCGCCCAACTGGCAACAGGTTCTGACTGCATTCTTCGCGTGCGCAGTCCCATTTTAAACTAATCGGTTTCCAGGATGAACTGCTGGGTTCGGGATGCTAGCAGGGACTATCGCTTGTCACGCATTTCTACTCATGTGAACACAAGATTGTGCATGCAGCTAGCCGGTTGCACCGGACCAAGCTTACTGCAGAACCTCTCTGTGAACTGTTACGGATTGCGGGGCCTAATCGTGGCAAATGTGGCGATATAGAATCCTGTGCTTGAAGTGGAGAGATTGCTTCTCAAGACCAAACTGCTGCCGGCTGTTCAGTGCTGTTGGCTGGCCAGTATTGCTGGCTGGTGTGGTCGCTGGCTGGTTCTTGCAAGGTGAGAAGCTGGAAGGCCTGTGGGGGGTGTGAGTCTTCCCTGCCGCTGATGTCCTTTGTCCTTTTCCGATCAATGCCACTTGTGATTTGAGCGACAGGCGGCCTTGTTATATGCAATTTTTCAGGGTCTCACTTGAGTCCCGGAAATCGTTCGCATCCAGAGGGATTCCTTTTCCATGGGTTGCCCTGGCAGACTGCTTTGCCGTATGGTATTTCTGCACGGAGAGGTGCGCAATCAGTGCGCAATTCAGGTATGAGCCCGCACCAGAGCCCTGGAATCTATGAAAATCAGAAGGCCGCATGGCAAATCTTTGGCACAAAATGCAAGGAAGGTTGTTTGCAGCGGATTTGTTCTTTGGGCGTTGCCCTCAACTAAGGTTCTTCGAGAGCTTCTCCTACGTCACTCTCCCATATTAGGAGATGAATGTTAACTTCCTCCGTGTTCTTTCAGAATGACATTTGGGCTTTTGTATGGGAATGGGTTCTGCGGCGTGTTATGCACAGAAGACAGCATGGCGTTTGCATCGGATTTCCACGCCAAGGGCAATTAGCCAAGCAGGCCATACGGCATCGCTTCAAAGCGTCGATTCGGTTGCAATTCTCGTACTTCAATTCATCTTGTCGGTTGCGCGCCCCATTTATTTATTGGCAACTCGAACCTTTTATTGAAACTATCTATTTGAACCGGTAGCCACGTCTAATTCGATGAGAAAAAAAATCAACAATCATTTTTGGATGGAACTACATTTATCAGAAGGCGTATATGATTGTATTATCTCGCATAATAATATATATAGAAGGCGTCCTCAAAGATATGATTTTACATCGATTCTCCAAAAGAATATAGAAAATATTATATTTAATTGAGGATTTATATGCTTTTCATTTATAGATTAGACATCGATCTTCTTATGAAGATGAATATATATATAATCTATTTCTAACGATTCAATATTCATATTTTTGCTTTTTGAAATATTACGAGATTCTTCTAGTTTCTATTTACGCGCGATTTATAAGATTGATTTTCGAATATATTCTTGATACTCTTAAATGTCGTACCTTTCGAGATATGATAAATTTATGAGATATCTGAATTTTTATAGAGGATATATTATTTTCGCTCCAAAAATATATAATTATTCTAAAAGATATATTTGGGATATATTTTACGCTGCGACCCTCGAAATATTTGGGATATTTTTGAAAAATGATTCGAAATTAATTTTTCGAAAATCTATTAAATATTTCGGAAGAGAATATATATTATGAAATTATTATATTTTCTGCAGAATTATTTTGTTGGGTGATGGCGGTAGTATTGGTGATAATGGTTATAGTTGGGGGGCGGCGGCGGGAGGAGATATCGTTTCGGGAGACGGGGAGAACATCTGGAGAAACGATAGGACGATATATTTAAAAGAATTTAATAATTGCTCGTTAGAATTAATTCATTTTTTATAGAAATAATTTGCTAGGCATTATAGAGGTATATATCTAAAATGATAGATAGGGGCCGTATCTAGAATGACCAGGGCAACGACGCAAGGCGGAGCAACGGCGCAAGGTTGATGCGGTCGCGATAATAGGGGCGGTCAATCGCATTATTCGGAACGATCAATAGATCCTCAATCCGGGCTTATGATATAAAATTATAAATAAAATATCATTTGATTCGAATCGACACATAATATTCTCTATTGCGGTCACCATATATTATTACGTATTCTTTAATGATGAATTTTTCTTTTTTAATTCGATTTATTTTCATAATGTCTTTCTAAATATTAAAATTTTTATCTGCAAATTTTTCAAGATTTTTTCTATAATAATTGAAAAAAGAATAGAATAAAGAATTAAATAATATAGTTTTGAGATTTCGATTTTATTGAAATAACGAGGTGATTGAAAAAAAATATATATATTTCTCTTCTCTCATAAATTTAATCGATTTAATCATGAGGAAAAATTAGATGATTCGTTTTTTTTTTTTTTTTTTT